GTAGCACAGACACGCTGCCACACACTGCTAGCGAATATTGTTGATACAATGTCCTTGGACAAACAATCCTTAAATCCAATCCTTGCCTACATAAACACAAACAGATGCCTGTGACAAGTGTGTGTGTGTGAGTGTGTTTAATTTAATTTCCTATTCTTCATCTCTGTCTCTGTGTTGAGTGCAGGGAAAAAGAGCGTACATGAAAGCGGAAAGGGCTTTCCCATTGAGCCGTGTCTCTGTTTGTCTTTTGTAGCCCCAAGCCGGCTCCGGGGGTCATCATTTATGGAGTCCGAAAGCCCCCAAAGAGCTAGCCAGAAGGGAAAAAGTTTACATCGTTTAAGTGCTTAATTTATGTTGTTGGACTAATTCATTTCGATGGCCGGAAGATAAGTGAAAGAGTCCAGAAAAACAAGGTCCGAACAAAAGGTAAACTTCGCTCCGAGGCTGAAGGAGTTACCATAATTGAGGTAAAGCATTTGCTGCTCTCCTGCTCGAGCCTGAGTGGCTCGAAATGGGTTTTCAACCATTGTTGATTCAATTTTGGGTCCACAATTTACAAAGAGACTCTCCAGCCATTAAAGTGCCACACAGTAGCTAAAGCTAAAGCATACTCTTAGGCCCGTCCCAGAGCCAGTCCCAGAGCCAGTCCCAGTTCCAGTTCCAGTCCCATGGCCAGCCGAAAGCTTTAACTCCCACACAACCACAAATGATCTTCAGACGGAGTATAGGGGGAAACTCCTTAAAGTATTCAACACCATTTGGCGGCAAACTTTATCGGTCTTCGGTGTGGCTTGCTCAACTTCTTGTGGCGAAAGTGATTCATTCACAATCTGAGCTTGTTGCCTCAACTATTCTGTGCATATCGCTCACCATCTAATCCAAGCGCATAAAGTTCATTCATAATCTGAGATTGTATTCATACCACATTGCGAACAGGAGATAGAGAGGTGAATTTATCATAAAGTTTTCTCCCTTTTTAATATTCACATCACATGATGCGTATGAGTAATTTCAAATGGCAAATGGCAAATGGCAAATGGCAAAGTCGTATATGCGTGCGAATGCCGGTGTGGGTGTGGGGGGTCTAAGTGAATGAAGCAGAACCCATTGAACCGCCTCGAATTAAGCAAAACCAAATGCTCGAGTACGAGTATCAAACGTGTTTAACACCATCGAACAGAGTTGCGTTACATTCAGAGATACGCGTACACACATTTGGCATATCACTCATACGAGCAGGCATCGAACATTGTTTGAAAACTCATTTCAGAAGCTCTTGCTTAAAGGACCCTCTGGCAAACTCCATTCGCACACAACGCATTTAAATTCCTAGCCAACTTTCCTGGCGGAAACGCGGGAGACACGCCTCCCGCATGATGCCAAGAATGTGTCCATAAATGGATGTTTTGAAACATTTTGAAACGTGACAACAATTTATTTTGCTTATTTGCGACGCTTGTGAATGGTTTACGCTTTTAATAAATAATTATTTACGATCAGATTTTTGTCGTTGGCAACTTTATTTGCCTTTGTGCCTGACACTCTTGATGATGGCAATACCCTGCATGTGACATATGAAGTAAAGGGGAGTTCCCTATACGGGAACACATACTAAATCCAAATTTGATGTTACCACTTGGTTCTAATATATTTAATTATCATTAATTAACATTTGCTACCATAATTTTAATAGAATAATAACGAGATACTTGTGCAGTCGTTGCTAGTCGCCCATGTCTGGGCTGGTTGTACTAGGTAACGGGTATAAAATTCGCTCATAAATCTTGGCTGCAACAACCATATTTAATTACAAAAGTTTTGCCAACTGTCCAACAAGGACTCCCCTGTCCGTGACAATCCCACAGATACACGGGACTTTTCTGGCGGCTGGCTGCCTTTTTACTTTTCCTGCCCGATGATTGTAGGAGTGTCAGGGAGGGGGGAGTCTCCCACACTCCCTGCAAAATTATACATACATTCTCATGCACAAATCACACACACACGCATACGCACACACAGACATGCCCCCTTAGGCGCTTTGCCATTTTTATCGTCTGCCAAATGGCCGACACTTGTCCACTCCAGCCCGTCCAGTTTTTGGCCACTTGGCCATTGGCCTAACACTTCCGGGCGAGGCCATAAACCGAAATCTCTTGTTTGCACTTCCATTGGCCATTGGTTGGGTTCGGCAGTGCGATATTGGGCGGATTGCGAAATCAGTTAACAGACAATTTCAACTATTTTACAGGCTGCGTACGGCATGCCAAATGACCCAGGCTAAATATCAATACCATCAGGGCCTGGCCGACAAAGCTCAAATGCAGCAGAAAAAATACAAAGTTCGGAAGGGAGAAAATCGATGCCCAGACCATTTCGAGATATTTTTGGAGTGCGGACAAGATGTTTTCCACACGGGGAATGACATAGCAGTCAGCGACCGTTATCTACGGGTGCGGAAAACAATTCACTTCGAATGTTATTTATCTTTCGCTGCTGTTTTTTTGTCCCACGAACCCTAACCCATATGAATTAGGTTTGGGACGAGTATTTCGGGTAATTTGTTGATGGAAAACTATAGATCGTGGACCATACGCCATGTACCACTTGACACCGTTCAAGTGCCTCCGGTCATTGATAAGATCACGGCCGGAGGAAACTTGTATATAAGATCCGGCCAGATGGCGGTACCAGTGCAGTTCCCCCAATATCTCTCAGCGGAGAAGTAGAAACTTCAGTAAAGGAATAACTAATACGGAAAAAGTTCTAAAATGAGAGTTTGTGAGTAGCTCCCGGAAGCCGCCTCCGATAATCGACTTTTACGGTGTTACTCTTTCATACTCTTTCAGTCAACTTGCTGCTGATTGGATGTTTGATTGCGTTGTGTGTCAGCGCGGAGTCGGTGGGTGCTCATCCTCCAAAGGACGAGCCCAGGCCCGAGCCATGTGGGACCACGACGAGACCACCCTGTGACCGTACGACAACAACAACCACCCAAACTACAACTACGACAACGGACACGCCTTGCACTACTACCAAGGAAACACCCCCCTGTGCACGATCAACCACAACAACAACACCCACTGAATCAACAACCACAACAACGACTACCACGACATCCACAACAACGACAACAACCCCAACAACAACCACCACTACAACAACAACCACAACTACTGAATCAACAACGACAACAACCATACCCTGTGACACAACTACCACATCGACACCCTGTGAACCTACAACAACAACTACCGAATCAACAACAACCCCAACCACTGAATCGATATCGACAACACCATTAATACCTGACTGTGACTGCGACACGACCACAACTACAGAATCAACAACTACAACAACAACAACTACGACAACATCCACAACAACGACTACGACGACTGAGACAACCACCACAACTTCTGAACCAACAACGACAACCACTACTGAACCGACCACGACAACAACAACGTCCACAACAACAACCACAACTACTACGACGACATCCACAACAACTACAACGACTACTGAGCCAACAACCACAACTTCTGAACCGACAACGACAACCACCACTGAACCGACAACGACAACAACAACAACAACAACAACAACAGAACCCTGTGAAACAACGTCTTCAACCACAACAACAACAACAACCACAACTACTCCAACAACAACGACTACGACGACTGAGCCAACAACGACAACTTCTGAACCGACAACGACAACCACCACTGAACCGACAACGACAACAACAAACACAACAGAACCCTGTGAAACAACGTCTTCAACCACAACAACAACAACAACCACAACTACTACAACGACAACAACGACCACGACTACTGAGCCAACAACCACAACTACTGAACCGACAACGACAACCACCACTGAACCGACAACGACAACAACAACACCAGCACCCTGTGAAACAACGTCTTCAACCACAACAACAACTACAACGACAACAACGACCACGACTACTGAGCCAACAACCACAACTATTGAGCCGACAACGACATCAACAGCTCCTTGTGAAACTACTACGACGACATCCACAACAACGACTACGACGACTGAGCCAACAACTACAACTTCTGAACCAACAACGACAACCACTACTGAACCGACAACGACAACAACTACAACGACAACAACGACCACGACTACTGAGCCAACAACCACAACTACTGAACCGACAACGACAACCACCACTGAACCGACAACGACAACAACAACACCAGCACCCTGTGAAACAACGTCTTCAACCACAACAACAACTACAACGACAACAACGACCACGACTACTGAGCCAACAACCACAACTACTGAACCGACAACGACAACCACCACTGAACCGACAACGACAACAACAACACCAGCACCCTGTGAAACAACGTCTTCAACCACAACAACAACTACAACGACAACAACGACCACGACTACTGAGCCAACAACCACAACTACTGAACCGACAACGACAACCACCACTGAACCGACAACGACAACAACAACACCAGCACCCTGTGAAACAACGTCTTCAACCACAACAACAACTACAACGACAACAACGACCACGACTACTGAGCCAACAACCACAACTACTGAACCGACAACGACAACCACCACTGAACCGACAACGACAACAACAACACCAGCACCCTGTGAAACAACGTCTTCAACCACAACAACAACTACAACGACAACAACTACAACGACAACAACGACCACGACTACTGAGCCAACAACCACAACTACTGAACCGACAACGACAACCACCACTGAACCGACAACGACAACAACAACACCAGCACCCTGTGAAACAACGTCTTCAACCACAANTCAACTTCATCTACAACCACAACCACTACGACATCAACAACTACATCTACCACGTCAACTGAACAGACCGCCACACCTTCTCCACCCACCGCGACAACCACCACTCCACCCACAGCTACCACCACAACAACAGCTCCCCGTGCAACAACGACTTCAACCACAACAACGACTACAACCACAACAACGACCACGACTACTGAGCCAACAACCACAACTATTGAGCCGACAACGACATCAACAGCTCCTTGTGAAACTACTACGACGACATCCACAACAACGACTACGACGACTGAGCCAACAACTACAACTTCTGAACCAACAACGACAACCACTACTGAACCGACAACGACAACAACTACAACGACAACAACGACCACGACTACTGAGCCAACAACCACAAGTACTGAACCGACAACGACAACCACAACTGAACCGACAACGACAACAACAACTCCAGCACCCTGTGAAACAACGTCTTCAACCACAACAACAACTGCAACGACAACAACGACCACGACTACTGAGCCAACAACCACAACTATTGAGCCGACAACGACATCAACAGCTCCTTGTGAAACTACTACGACGACATCCACAACAACGACTACGACGACTGAGCCAACAACTACAACTTCTGAACCAACAACGACAACCACTACTGAACCGACAACGACAACAACAACGTCCACAACAACAACCACAACTACTACAACAACTACTACGACGACATCCACAACAACGACCACAACTACTGAACCAACAACGACCACGACTACTGAGCCAACAACCACAACTACTGAGCCAACAACGACATCAACAGCTCCTTGTGAAACTACTACGACGACATCCACAACAACGACTACGACGACGGAGCCAACAACTACAACTTCTGAACCAACATCGACAACCACTACTGAACCGACGACGACAACAACAACGTCCACAACAACAACCACAACTACTGAACCAACAACGACAACCACCACTGAACTGACAACAACTACACCAACACCCTGCGAAACAACGTCTTCAACCACAACAACAACTACAACGACAACAACTACAACTTCTGAACCAACAACGACAACCACTACTGAACCGACGACGACAACAACAACGTCCACAACAACAACCACAACTACTGAACCAACAACGACAACCACCACTGAACTGACAACAACTACACCAACACCCTGCGAAACAACGTCTTCAACCACAACAACAACTACAACGACAACAACTACAACGACAACAACGACGACGACGACATCCACAACAACGACTACGACGACGGAGCCAACAACTACAACTTCTGAACCAACAACGACAACCACTACTGAAACGACGACGACAACAACAACGTCCACAACAACAACCACAACTACTGAACCAACAACGACAACCACCACTGAACTGACAACAACTACACCAACACCCTGCGAAACAACGTCTTCAACCACAACAACAACTACAACGAGTTGTTGATGTTGCTGTTGTTGCTGCTGCTGCTGTAGGTGTTGTTGCTGATGCTGCTGACTCGGTTGTTGATGTTGAAGACTTGGTTGTTGCTGTTGGTGATGACTTGGCTGCTGCTGTTGTTGTTGCAGGTGTTGTTGTTGGTGTTGATGACTTGGTTGTTGCTGTTGGTGGTGACTTGACTGTTGTTGATGTGGTTGGCCCTGCGAAACAACGTCTTCAACCACAACAACAACTACAACGACAACAACTACAACGACAACAACGACGACAACCACTACGACAACGTCATCCACAACAACCCCTACCCCTACCACATCACCCGCTGAAACAACAACACCGAAATATTGCAATACAGAAACTACAACACGTCCGCCATGCAACAACACAACAACGCGGCCACCGTGCACAACAACGCGGCCACCGTGCACAACAACTCGACCACCATGTACCACAACACGGGAACCATGTACCACAGCACGGGCACCATGCACAACAACACGGCCTCCATGCACAACAACACAACCACCATGTACCACAACAAGGCCACCATGTACCACAACAAGGCCACCATGTACGGAAACAATCACCACTCCGTGCCCAACACCAGCCCCAACTAAGGCACCCGGCCACACCGTCAACAACGACAATACCAGGGACGTGGCTCTTGCTCAGCTGCTGATCTCCCGCCACGACTGCCGCGGAAAAGTCGATGGAACTTATCTGGCCGACATACGCCATTGTCGCCACTACTACGTGTGCGACAGGCAGAGATCTAGGCGCCAGAACTGTCCTCTCGGACAGTGGTTCGACCGTCAGCTGAAAACTTGCCGTCAAAGCAGCGAGGTTACCAATTGCCTGGCCATGCGCAATTAAGAATTCACAAATGAAAGTGAAATGAAATGGAAATGGAAATGAAAATGATCCAGCATCAACTGCGCCTCCATTGCGGCTAGGCCATTTGCATATACTTATTCCAAATTCGCACAAGTCAAACCAAAACAATTCAACCAACCTGCAACATATCAATGAAAAGTAAAGTAATACCAAAGACAATATATTTTCAAAGCAATAAACCAAATTTTCATAGCCATAAAAGTAAAAGTACTCATAGTTTCCCAGATCGATCGAGGAGCCCATCCCGTACATCGTACAACTTCACAAGTCTCTGAGTAAGCAGCCTTCCTCTCGACTTGCATTAAGCCAGAGATAAGCCTTCTATAATGTCTCAGCTAATAGACACTCCAATCCATGGAAAATATTATGACCACTGTCGAAAAGGCGATTCATGACATCGATTAAGCTGCAAAAAAGAAAGCACCGGCCATGGCACAAATCTTCCAAATCAGAAGTTTTTCCAAGCTGTTTTGTGCCTTGATTTAGTTACGCCAATCAATCAAACTATTAATAATATTCGCATAAATGTATTTATGTATTTGGACACAGAACACAATCGATTAAGCTGTCTATCCCACTCCCACTCTCCCAACAGTGGAATACGGAAAACTTTCAATCAGCCAAACAAAAATTGCGAAAAAGCAAAACAAGCTCATAAATTTGTCAGCACTCTCGACGAGGGTGCCACCAGTGGGTACAACAGAGTGGGCCACCGCTTTGGTGCACATCCCGTATCCCTTTTATAGGCGTCAACTTTTCGGTCGGGGACTCCAACTCAACAACAGCGCGACAGTTGTGAGTTAGTGTCTGTGGCATTACTATGTCAGGCTATTTATTATGACCCACCGAAGAGCGGAGGGGTCTCCCGCTCAGGCCGTAGTTATATTTTACTAGGCAAAGAATTTATTTCTCGATAAGCATCCACGATATTCCGCTGGGGTCGAGCAAATCTGAAATCACAAAAAGTTACTAAATCAACAGGGGAAGTGAAGTGAACTGAAGTGGTCCCAAATGGTAGCTCATGCGGTGCTGCACTTTGCTGTGTTCTTTTCTAGATCTGTTTCAAGTTTGTTCAAGCTTGCCACACGCTTCGTATCAACTTGAAATCTCTATTTAATCTCTGCTTCAAATTCCTGACAGATACAATTTTAGTTAAATCTCTGCTGTGGCGGCTACTTCAGGTGCATTGGGCATTGGCTGCACCAGGCATTATCTCATATCCGCATGTGCTTCATTGGTTTCTCACTCGTATCTTAACCTTTACTCACTTTTCTGGTCGATTTTGAGCGTGTTTCTCTCTCCATAACTGTCCTTGCGGCATTTTACGTACACATTTTGCTTCTTTTTTTTTGTGTCACCCACACAAATCAAAGCGCAAAGCGCCACAGCACGTGGCAGCACCGCTTTGTGTCGCTTCAGACTTTCATCATATTTCAGTTGGTCCTGCCTCCACAAGCAAACAAATCCAACAGCAAAATATCTGCATTGAAAGAGCTTGGAAGGACCGCGGCAAAGGATATCCATTTATCGATGGCGACCGAATGTTTTTTTGCCCATTCGAGTCTACTAAATACCGTAGTAACAGCCGCGTGGCCGGAGACTCAACGATAAAACAATCAATCAACAAATCAAATCAAAAAAAGTTTACTCGTAGAGCATCCTGATGTCCTAGGAGTGGCGCTTTTGGTGCATTACCAACTTTGGTTCACACAATTTGTGCCATTTGTGCTCTTCCCTCGCTGATGTTTTGGCCTTACCAATTTCCTTAGCATTAATTTATTTTTTATTAATTCTAAAATGGAAATTATTGCACATGGCGCTAAAATGTAGAATTTCCGCATGTGTTGCACGTGTGAACGATTTTAAACGTTTTGAATGAGTTTTATTGTATTAGTTTTTTTATTTTTTTGCATTTAAATCCCTTGCGATAAATTTATGAGGCGTTAAAAATCGCATTTACAATCAGCCATCGTGACCAGAAGTTATTGTTGCTTGGGCGCCTGTTTTTGTCGAGTTTTGTGGTTAGTTTGCGACACTCATTAATAAGCATAATTAACACTTACCACAGAAATGCCGGCGAACAATAAATGCGTATGTTAATCATACGCCATGTTGCTGGTCGAATGTTTCATTTATTTGATTTCCTTCTATTGAATTTTGGTTGATTTTCCAGCTTGAATTGGTATCTGCAAAGGAGTAAGATAAAATTATCATAAATGCCTTGAGCTGCTGAAATGAGGATCAATAAAATAAATTAGTAACTAAAGAGCGAAGAAGACCGCAGCCCCAGACGCCGTTCCATCGTCTTCAATAGAGGGCTTATGGGTCTGAAGGCCATGGGGCCCCGAAGCTAGTCTTCCTTTATTTTACATTGCTGGTGGTTTTGGGTTCATTTTGCAGATTGCGCGTTGAATTTTTAATTGCGCTCGCAACAAAACAAAAAAAACTATGCACCAAATTACAAATAAACTTTAAATGAAACTTGAAAGTGCACGCACATACTCGTACTCGGTACTCGAGTACGGGTTACTCCTGCACATGCCCAAGGGGGTAGTTGAGAGCGTGGCCTGGAGACTGGCGAGGGGGTATTGAGGGCCAAAGTGCCGCACTTTATAACGAGCCCAGCTATTTCAATTATTAATTAATATCTCGCACTGGAAAATGGCGCAGACAGGCGGACATGCACAGACAAACATCCGCCTGCATAGATACAGTTACCGTCGAAAGTTTTCCTCCATTTGCAAAGTGAATGTTGGGCGCAAGTGAAATAGTTTTCGGAGCAATTGAAAAACGTTCAAGGGAAAAAGTTTTGCGGAGCTCAGTTCATTTATCCCATTTTCCATTCGCAATTTTCTGTTGTGGCAAAAAGCACCAACAACAAAATGTGTGCACCACAATTTTGATATATTTTATTTCCTGCTTATGGCAAGACTCGCAAGACTGCTTTCCACGCAATAAGTAGGTGCAGAATGTATTCAAAATATTAAGAAGTGGATCTCGAGTATCCAAATGAGTTGCCCACAAAACCCCATCTAGAAATCGTTTGGAGCAGGCTCAGATAAATTGATTTTCCATCCAAACTTTCATCCAAATCTAGCAAATTTCAGTTACATTTTGCTTGTAAGCTCTTCGTTCCAGTAAGATGAAAAACAAAGACAAATCCAAGCTCGAAAATTGGCCACAGGCTCAGGACTGGCTGTGGACTGGCTGCTCTACGAACTTATGGAAAATCTTATAAAAACTGATCAAGTGGTGCAAAGAGTGGTCTGCGAACGTGTGGCATTCCACTGCAGGAAGGCCAGAGTCAATCGAATTAAAATGAATTGAGAACAAAAGACACAAAACTTGGAACAGATGCGACAAGTGTGCGTGTACACTGCAGTGCGTTGGCAGACACTGTGCCTAACCTTGGCAGCACTGCCACACTTTCGCCCCCGTGTGTGTGTGTGTGTGTGTGGGTGTGTTTATGGCCAGCGTGTTGGGAAATTCGCATCGTGTTAGAGCTTATTATCGCCAGAGATAGACGGGGCTGGGAATGGGGATTGCGACAAAACCTGATGAAAGGCCTCGTAGACGGGCACAACACAGGAGAACAGGAGAGGAAATGCCAAGAAAAGTGAAAGCGAAAGGGAAAATGTCTCCTCCACTCGTATTGTACATTTAAGGTGATATCGGGATGGAGAGCAGAGCTGAGCAGAGCTGAGCAGAGCAGCGACGAGCACATGTAATAAATGAGAATAAAAATCATATAACATATGAAACAAGGAGAGCGGTGGCGCAAGTTGCATCGCCCCGAACCGAGTGTACCCTGCACTTAGTGCTCCTCAACTGGCACAAAATGTGCAGCATACCCCATTGTCTGTGGGTGTGCGAGTACCAGGTACGCACAGGCCAGACAGAAGACTGCGATGAAGTAGTGCTGGCAGACATGTTTGCTGCTGCAGCAGTCAGCCCCCACGGCAAACACACACACACACACACACAAATTCTTTGGCAATTTATTATTAGAAGGAGGCAGACGCCACGAGCCGAGGCCAGCCAGTGCCCAGCCATAGAGGGAAGAGAGAGCACGAGAGCATAAATACTACTAGAGATGAGAGAGCACCAGCCGGAGCAGCAGAGCAGCAGAGGAGCGACTGCATGACAGCTGTTTATGTAGTTGTCGCCAGCAGCGGCAGCAGCAGCAGCAGCAGCAAGAGCCAGAGAGAAACCAGCGTCGCTGGGGAATCGACCAAATGGCTACCCTGTTACCCCTACAAAAGAGTCAGCAGAAAATGGCTTAGAGATAATAATAATAAACATAAAACAATTATGCAGAGCATGAATATTCAAATTTACATCTCGCTTTTCATGCTGAGTATTAGTGCCCAGTTCGCACATGCCCACGCGATACCCAGTGGTCGTCTATAAGGAGTAAATATTTGCCATGTTTATTATTATTTTACAAGAACAACATGTTAGTCGGGTGTGTGTGTGATTGGGTTGACTCTGGGTGGATAAGAGGGCCAGCCAGATGGAGGAGGCGTCGGTGTCGGTGTCGGTGTCGCCGGTCTATGGCGATGGTCACACACGCGCCGACTCTGCCCCGTTGCCTAGTCAATATTTCACATTTGGCACTTGAACCAAATTCTTTTAGTTTTCTGCGAAGGTTGACGCCGTAGCCAAAGCCGAAGCTGATGCTGATGCTGATGCTGATGCTGATGCTGACGTCAACGTCATCAGAGCAGCAGCCTCGGTGTCAATCAGTCCACCTTTAGTAATGAATTTCGTGTTTATAGATTTATGTTGGTGTTGTAATTTATTTAGCTAATTTCAGCCACAGCGACCCAACACTGGGCGCAGCAAAAGGTGGCAAACAACGGCTAAATATATATTAAAAAAATGAAACACATTCACACAATTTAAACATTTTTCTGATGACAATGCAATCTGCCATTTTATATTGCAATTTTCGTCGCACAAAGCAGGCAAGCAACATAAAAGCATGCACAAAAAAAGATAAAACAAACAAAAAATTAATATTTTAATTTCAAAATGCAATAAAATCATGAAAGCAGAATGTTTGCATGCATATTTGCAGCGGGAACGGAAACTCCAGTTGTATGCCCAGAGGCATGCCACACACATTCCTGTGAGCTTCCAACCATTTTGTCGCCGTCACCAGTCTATCGCATTTTATTCATGTTTGCCTTGGGGAGCACTCGCTTCGGTAATTACTTTAATTGATCGTAAGCTGTGTGTTCAGTAAATGTAAACCAAAATGTTAAATAATGAATGCCTGGCAGACCTGGCAGCACCTCTAGGCATATGTACTCCTATCGCTGTGCCGTGCGTATTTGTTTGGTTTTAGTCTGATTTGCACCCAAAGATAACATTCTTTGGTTCATTTGTTCAGTTATTACATTGGGGCTGCATCGATTTCCCGACTGCTTTATGGTTTATCTTGTTTATATTCCCACGATTACTGCCCTCTTTAAAGCTCACGTTGAACGATTTAATGGGGGATATCAAAAAGTAATTTGTCTTAATTTTTATCGTGTCTTGTTTCCCTTTTCATTTTGCCCAAGTCTTGCGCGCATAACCGCAATCAGGTCATATGGCAGCCTGGCCCTATAACAATGTGCAGATGTACTAAAATATGCATATATAAATGATACATATATACTCGCTTATACATGTGTATTTACACTTTACATCTTTGGCTTTGCTGTGGCCCAAATTTCAGCAGAAGCCGCAAAAAAAAATGAGGAGCAGAACCGGAAAGGAAAGAAAAGAAAAGGGAACAAAAAACGTAAAGTTAAACCGCAGTAAAGTGGTAAGGACATATGCACACACAAGTTGTATTAAGTAAACGCATATTCTAAGGCAATGGGCATCATGAGGCAACCATTTAAATGCATCATTACAAGTAAAACAAACAAGAAATAGGAAAATCGAATAAGAAACACACAACCCAAGGCAGCCAAAAAGTGAAAGCTTTTGTTTGTTGTTCATTCGGTAAGCGCTCTCTTCCTTTTTCTTTGTTGAAATGGCAATGTTGGTTTTCCATTTTCACTTCTCTTTTTCTTTTCATATTTTTTGTATTATTACTTTTGCTTTTTGGTCAGTTTTTTTCTTTGGTCTCGTAATGAAAGCGATTACAAGACGACAGCAAAGCGCAGACGATAATCAGGAGAAAAAGGACGGAAGGGTGGTGTGGTCTGGCCTGGCCTGGTCTGGTCTGGTCTGGTCCGGGCTGGATGGAAAAGTGGTCTGAGAAAAGTAAGGAATGAAAGGAAGCCATTTCCTCTGTTTCCCCACACATTTTCCCTGCTGCCACTTTCAGTTTGCTATTTGTAAAGTTATCGGGTGAATTTATGACATTTATTGAAATCGTTTTTCTCTTTTGGGCGCTCCCTTTTCCTTTTGCCAACTTTTCGCTCGCTCGTTTTTTTCTGCTCTGATTAGTTATTACTTTATATGCGACTGCTTTAATATTAATAATCTTTTCCCCTGTGCCCAGTGGTAATACAATCCTGCGAAATTGCTGGAGCATTTAGCACAATGCAAAAGCCTTCTGGGCAGAAATAAAACAAAAAGTAAGTGTGAGCATGTAAAAATATAATACGAGGGTGAATAAAAATGTAAAAAACCAACAAACAAATGGCAAGAAATCCTCTCAACTGAGGGAACCTGTTGCTTTGCCTACAAAAGAGTCAGAGGGTCAGTCGGGCAGAGGCAGAGGCAGAGGCAGAGGAGAAGGCAGTTAAGCTTACCAAAAGCAGAAAATATCAAAAGAGAAAAATCATGAATGGAAAATCGTTAAAGCAACTCGCTGGGCTTAAAGGCACAACAACAAAAACGTTTGGATTCATTTTGTGGAAATAAATGGAGCCAAAAATTGAAATAAGATTAATCCCCACCAACTCAGATAGATACAAATAAATAAAGGCAAATAAATGCATACAAATAGAAGTATATAAAGGAGTAAATATGTACAATGAAATAGTGAAAAGGAGGAATGGTACCTGGTACCATTATATACCCTTGATCAGCATCAAAATCATTTACATATTTAAATAGAGTGACTAGTCAATAAATTGTTATATATAATTTCCAGCAAATGAAATAATAATACATATAAAGTTCACAGGTTTATGGCAAAGGAAAAAGAACAGCCCAAAAAATAGAAGAAAAATGAGAAGAGAAAAAAACTTGACCGCAAACATTTTGTTTGACATAATGAGAGAAAGAGCGGAAAATGAAAAAACAAGATGAAAAGGAAATCGAAAAAGTGCGTATATTCGATAGCCTTGGGCCACATATGTTGGGCCCAACGGATTGGGAGGAGATCCCCGCCACAGTCGAGTCAGATGAACACGGTGCAGAACTTTGCTATCCAACGGAAGAGAGAGAGAGAGAGAGAGAGAGAGATACGGAAAGAGAGGGATACGCGCAGAGAGAATAGAGAAAACTTCAAAAAACCGTAAGGAAGTGGGAGAAATGTTGACTGGGGGAATGCCCTTCAAGCAGATACTTACAACAATAAGACAGAAGAGAACTGAGTAAAAATACACGGAAACACGGGATGTAAAACATGAACTCAAGCGGATCAAATACTAATATTTATTTATCCTAATAAATACAAGTATTTTGATAATTATGTCGGTGTATTCCGAGAGAAACATATCTTAAATCGGGTGCCAATGCGGCATGCATGCGGCTCAGAGGCAGAAAAAACTGTAACGTTCGTAAGCAAGATCTCCCATGATACCTAGGAAAAGAGTGAGGTCTGATTTGGCATAGAGTGTTTGAGACCGTAACAAAAGCACATTTGAAGAGAGAAAATAAATGTTGCAGTTCATCACAATCGTAAGAGCCACTGGTAGCCACAAGAGCAAATGCTTTTTGGGTTACGCACAGACAAGTCGAAGGAGAGAAACCTTCGTCAAACTTTGCCGCTATCCAAATTTAATAATTTCAAGAAAAAGCAACAACACTGCCCGCCTAATACGCATGTGTAATCATTTTCAATTTCATTTTTCCGATTTTTGGTTCATATTTTTTATTATTTTTTTTGTTGTGCATATTTCGATCACAGCTGTGTCGGACCAGCGCTGTGGGCTGGGGCGAAGAGAAGAGAAAAAAAAACTTGATGGCCGCCGTTTAATTTTTGGTCTTGTTGTTATTGCTGGCTTTTATTAATGAATTTTCTCTCAGTTCTTTTCTTCTCTGGCTCTCTGCTGTTCTGCTGCTTTTGCGTTTCTTTTTATTCATTCTGTTCTTGTTTTTTACTTTTTGGGCTACGTCTAAAAATATGTCTGCCAATGCGCTAAGTGGCCTCAAACTAGTCTATGTATATGGGATACACAGAACATACAGTGCACATTGCCTCAACGAACTTGTATTTGAATACAAAAAAAGAAAACAGAAAGCCACAACAATAAAATGCATGTTAAAGTACAAACTAAAGCCTGAAAGAGAATACAAAATACAAATGCATTTGTATTTGTATTGGTGATCTCTTAATAGTTTGCACAGATTAAACTGATTTTTTACCATGTGCTTTCATGGAATTGAAATGTTTTATTTATGTGTCCTTGCATAGACAACTATTTGGCACCTAGACCCGATGCTTACTGTAGAAATGAGGGGAATGGAAAACTAATATTCATCGAAGAAAGTGTATTAAATAAATACCCCATCGAGTGTTCAAAAATAGTTTCACACATTTAAGTAAAAAGCTAAGAATCTTTCTATGAAATATGGAAACTAATCAAAGAAACACACAATGGACCCGCTGCTGTTCTATCCGAACCACTCTTTCCGTTTTCCCTAAGGCTTAGCTGAAAGAGTTTTCCCGAGGCAAATTTTAATCCAATTTCAAACCCAACGCTTGGCTCATTAAAACTACATTTTGGTGGCTGGGCCTGAGCTCATCAAATGCACATTTTATTTTGTACCAAGAAGTGCTGCGTTTTTCACCCACTTTTAAATTTGATATTTTTGTTGCTTACTCTGGAGATTATTAAGATTATTATTCCACAGTTAGCTGAATTGATTACATATTGGTTTTCCTTTTAGACGATTTTCCATTGATATTTCCGTGTAAACCAATTAAAGTTTCAACAAATTATTATTATAACGAGCACGTTATTCTTTTTTTAATTTAAATATTTTTATTTGGAAACCTAATCGGTGAAGATATTAGTTTTTACACACTTTTGGCTGTATCTTTGAATTGTCATTTAAGGGCAGAATTAATGTTTTACCGAAACCAATTTAATTGAAATCTTTATCTGATGATTAGGAATACATTTAGGTACATCATTTTTTCAAATGCTTTTACGATTCTTTCAATTAAATTGAAATATTGTTGTTGCATTTCTCGGAGTAAATTTCTGAATTTTTGGCGCGCATTTCTCCCAGCCGGCACATTGGCATACTTTTCACACTTTCGAATTTGCACAGAGAAAAAATTGACAACAAAAAGGAAACTATTGAAATGAAATAAGCGAGAACAAACACTTGGAGAAGAAGCCAAACCAATCAATTGAGAGGCGATTTTCACTAGAGTTTTATTTTGATTTTGTAACCGAACCGAACCGTAACGCGAATTTGTAGTTATATTGTTTCTGTGATTGTTTCTGGAACGCCGCGATTGGGGCACGCGAACCGCCCGACTCGACTCTCGACGTGTCCGTGTCCGTGCACGTGGCCAACTCGACGTGTACTGAAATCCTAGGCGTAACGCTATCTGGAATGTCCCACCGCGCTGCATCGAGTCTGTTACTCGACTGTTGCTGCTGCTACCGCTGCTGCTGTTGCTGCTGATGCTGCTTGTACAGGCACAGTCACAGCTTCTGCTCTGGTCCCTGGCTGCCCCGTTCGACGCCTCCACGTTGGCTGCTTCCGAATCTGCTCCTACTCAATGCTGAGTGAGTGTAAAAGCCGAACCGAGACGAGCGCCAACCGACCGATGCTTTCGTCTGCCTGCCGACTATATTTAGCTCACACGAAACTCCCCCCTCCGGCCGAGCGAGACTCGCGCCAACGCTACGCAGAGTGTATTGATTCAGGGTAAGGCAGTCCCCTGTGAACGCTCCCGAGTGGGTTTACAAGCAATCTTGAGATTCGCTGCTAGTAGTTTGTGGAAAGGTAAAGCGTTCCTATCTATGCACATGTCCTCTTGCCAGTGTACGCCAGATGAAGTAAGGCTATGGGTCTATAGAGATCTACATATACTTATGATACCAGAGCCAAATGGAAACAAATTCTTCTGCTCAAAATGTTCTCCCTTATGGAGGAATTGTATCAAGTGATATGTTCTTTGTGCTAAACATTTGTGCAAATCAGCACCTGAGATGCTAAAACCTTATAAGAATACACCCTGCCCACGCAGAATGAGAGCTAGAAAGAGAGAAAGAGAGATTGCGTGATTCATGAGAGAACGCGAACGTTGAGTGAGTTGTTGTTGGTTTTTTTTTGTGCACTCTTTTCCGTAGTCACTTCCGACTTCTTCTTGGCCCAAGGAAGTTGTAGCCCCACTGACAACGACAACGACAACGACAACGAAAACGACAACAAAACCCCGTATTTTTTCGTACTTATTTTTCTTACGATAGTTCTTTTTTTGTTCACGTTTTCACGGTGAAGGGGAGAAGGGGAAATGTCAAATGACATTCTGGGATCACAGTCTAAAGAAAACATTTTGAAATATGCTTGGAATGCATTTTCCTGTTGGTGCTTTCCCTTTGCTGGTCGACGATGTTCTTCTTCTTTGTTTACCTTCTTTTTTTGTTGTTGTAAACAAAATTCTTAAAAATGAGAAATAATTTCAAAGAATTCCAGAACAAAAACCACAACAAAACAGCGAACAGAGAGAACAAATCCATTTGTGGATCTTGTGAAAAGTTCAAAGTTAATTCATAAGACTCATCATTAAGGCATCGAAGGGGCTTTCCCTTGGCATTCGAGGCACTCACTGTATTGGATTTTGATGCTTGTTGCGCTAAAAACATTCTCATCGAGTCCTTATGCCACCTAATTATCCTCTAACAAGTCTAACAAGTACATTCTCATATTTCCTCATTCTGCTGGCCAACAATCGCAAATAAGAAATGTGTTTTTCCCTCGGCGAGGCAAAAGCCACATAAAAGAAACTTTAGGACTGCGTTTTTGCATCGGGACGACTCGGGACAACTGAGACCAGACCAAAAGCCGCATTGTATGGCCACTGAATGGAGAATACGTTGATACACAGGGGCGTTGGGGCGTTGGGTCGGTGATAGAGAAAGAGACAGAGCTGGGGTGACAGGAGACATTCCTTTTGGTTCAATTTTCTGTTCTATTTTGCCGCTTCCATAGGCCACAGGGCAACAACAGCAATGCGGTCAAAGGTTGCCGTAGTTACAAGCAAATGAGTAAGGCCAAGAAGGAGAAAATGCTAAGCCCACAACAACAACAACAAACAACATACTCGCATAGCATAGATGGAAGGAAGGCAGCTGTTGCTTGCTTGAATAAGAAATAATTTGGTTCTCCTCCCCAGTCTCCAGCAGCCAGCAGCCAGCAACCAGCAGCCAGCAGCCAGCATCCAGCATCTCCTGCGTGTGTGCTTTGTTATTTGCCTTTCGAATCTAATGTGTATAATGCCTCTGAGTGTGATTAGTAGCAATGTTCCATGGCCATAATCGTAATGACAAGGATATACAACGAACGAGTGGGAGTCCATAACGGAAGAGCCTAGGCAAAGTTTCAAGTTGGTGGCGGCCACAACTTTCGTTCTCCCAACTATGTACCTAATTTATTCGCAATCATTGCTGTTAAGTGTCAATCCAGCACTGCAATTATTAATCAGAATTCTCCAGGGATTAATAAGAGGGCGGAAATTACAATGCGAATCCCAATCGGGGCCTCTTCAGAATCGTTTCCTTTTCGCCATTTTTGTGTCGTGTCCCAGGCATATCCGTGTCCTTAACTACAATCATCAGCAAGATGACTCTAAGAATTTAAGTAAGTGCCAGAGCTAATAGAATTACCAGCCTCAATCCAGAACCCAAACTTAAACCAACAAACAAAAATCTTCTCCGATTTCCTGATGAAACTTTTTACGAAAGAAAACTTTCGCCCTTTATGGAGCGATAAAATTGCAAAATTTATGTATAATTAAAATTCTATTCCTTATAATTGGTAAACTCGTGCACCATTTCCCCCCTCTTGACCGTATTCTAATATGGCTCAAAAGTTTTCCAACAAAAAAAAATAAAATAAACCAGAGTAAACGCAAAAAGGCACACTCGCCTCTCATAATTTCATATATCCTACACACACCTAGAGACACACGGGGACAACACACACACACACACACACACACACATGCAGAGAGCTGGGAAATTCGGTACTGCTTAACTGAAGCATTTTGCAGCTTACGCAATGAAAGCAATGGGCACCTGTCGATGGAAAATGTATGGCTGAGTTTCGCACAGAGCGGTCTAAAGGAGAGAGAGAGGGAGAAGCATGGAGGAGGGAAAGGCGTGGGGGAGGTGTAAATTTAGCAGAAGACTAAAGTGGGGTAAAACGTTGCAACTGACGCAAAACTCTATTATGTTTGCTGAACATGGCCGGCGGCCTATTAAAACAACAATGCCAACTACTGTCACATCGAACCACATCCAAAACAACCTCCCAACCACTGGCACTGGGAGGAAAACTCTGCAAAATGAACTCTGGAACAATTACACACCTGCAAAATGAAAGGAGACAAACCCGAGCATAAACGAGTGCAGATTCAGAGTTCTTTTAGCTGGTGTATTTTCTAGATTTATAGTCCTAGAAGTTGAACGACCCCAAGCACTAAATTTATCCAGACGTAGTGCCACTTCTGAGTAACCAATTCTCTGTTTATTCTGTAGTTATAATTAACATTTGAATTTATTTATTTACTTATGGCTTTCAATCTGTACCCTTAGTGCGGCTAAACAAAAGAGTTTAACAAAGTTCGCTAAATCTAGGGTAATTTGCTTGCCCGGTGCGAATATTTGTTGGCCTGGAAGCAGCAGCAAAAATAACTAAAAGCAACACTTTTGGGTGGAGATGGAGAGAAAGCTGAAAAGGTGGTAAAGGCGCGAAAAGTAAAAATACAAATTTGTTTGGAATTGAAAAATTCATAACACGAAAGTCGTGAATGAAAAAAAAAACCAACAAGCAGCAACAGTTTAAGCCGGCAACAGACACAAAATTCAACAGCCAGCAGCCAGCAGGCAGCAGGCAACAGCAACCACAACAACAATGGAGGTAACCAGGAGTAGCAGCAGGTGGCATAAAACATGTCGGGAAAAGGACTTTTGCATGTGTCCTGCACAATTTGAATGTTGTTGGTGGGGCAAAGCGGCAGAACTGTGACCAAATAAGGGAAAGCGCGAGCACCAGCAAAATTAGAGGAAGGAAAATATATCCACGGCGACGAAGCGTTGGATACCCTGGAAAAAATCGTTGCATATTATTACGTTGCTGCAGCAATATAAGCCATAAAACTGAACGACTGTGTGCTGCCCATATAAGTATGCTATCCAGATGCCCATCCATGGCCAAACCTTAACAACTCTCTGTGTTAGTGGGTGCAGAGAAGGCAACTTACAAAAGGCTTACAGCCAAATGTGATACCTGCGCGTGGGGCCAAAATCAAAACAAAACCAAAACGCAAAAAGCATAAAAAAAACAAAAAAACAAAACACAAACAATCCAGACAAAGCGGAAAGCATCGTTTTGGCGTCACAATAAAAACACACACACAAAAAAAGAAGGAAAGCTTTAGAATAGTAAGTAGGAGTGTGGCAGCAAACAGCATCCTAATATTATTATGCACATCTAAAATGTATTAATAAATGCAACACATGTTGGTTTCCTCTTTGGAACCAAAGAGAGATTACACCGATACTCTGCCAGTTGGTTGGAATATGAATATTTCCCATAATAAATTGAATTCATTCACTAAACCGATGGGAGCACGCTGTCTGCTTTTGGAGACTACACAATTGAAGGAACTTTACTTCAGATTTTAAGTGTGAGTATAAGCCGCTATGA